TTGCCTCTGGTACCCACAAATCTGATCTCCTTTTATATGAGTTCGTTTTTTTTTAAAGTATAATTGACTTACAACACTATGTTAATTCCTGTTACACAACATGGTGGTTCAATATTTCTATACATTTTGAAATGACCATCATGATAAGTCTAGTTATGATATGTCACCATACAAAGTTATTACATAGTCAGTGACTATATTCCCCACACTGTGCATTTCATATCCCTGATTCATTTATTTTGCAACTGTAAGTTTCTTTCACCTAATCTCCTTCATCTATTTCTTTCACACCCCACCCCCAATATCCCCCTCCCTCTGGCAACCACCTGTTTGTTCTCTGTATCTGTAACTTTGCTTCTATTTTGTTATGTTGGCTTATTAGTTTTCTAGGTTCCACACATATAAGTGAAATCATACAATATTTGTCTTTCTTTGTCTGACTTATATCAGGTAACATAATGCCCTCACAGTTCATCCTTGTGGTTGCAGATGGCAAGATTCCATTCTTTTCTACAGTTGAGTAATATTTCATTATATATTATGTATATATCACATTTTCTTTATCCATTCATCTATTAATGGGCACTTAGATTGCTTCCATATATTGGCTATTGTAAATAGTGCTGCAGTGAACATACAGATACGTACATCTTTTCTAATTAGTGTTTGTGTTTATTTTTTAAATAAATACCCAGTAGCAGAATTGCTGGATCATTTGGTAGTCCTACTTGAAGCCAGAGTATTTAAATAGTGAGCTTGTTTCACTTAAAGATTAATATATTTAGGAATTCTTTTGTCAACAATGCTAATCGCTCAGCATCAAATTTCATGGCATAATGGTGATTTAGGACATGTTGAGAATTTTTATTATTGTTTTCTTACTTCAAGAATTTAAGTCTTGTGGAAATATCTTAGACTTGTCTGGTTTGAGGGAATTTGTATAGTCAATCAAAATTAAGCCAAATATAGTGTATCATTTAAAATGAGATTTAGTGCCAATATTACAGCTATAGCAACCTGGAACCCCCATTCTGAGCCATCTGCTATTTAAAAATCACACTCCTAGGAATACTGGCATTTGATTACCTGGGGCCAAATATGGCTATGCTACTTATTGTCTTTATAATATTGGGAAACTGAGAGCTTCAGTTTTCTCAACTATGAAATGGAGATAACAGTACCTACTTTGTGGAACTGTTGAAAGGTTCAACAAGTTAACACGGGTAAAGGTCTGAAAGACGACCTGGCAGTGCTGTGCAGATTCTACACAACCTACAGATTCTACAGCATTAGCCACCGGGCAAGGGCAAATCAAAACCACAGTGAAATACCCCTTCTCACACACTAGGAGAGCTATGATAAAAGACCCTAACGAGCAATTCCAAGAAAGGGAAAAAGTTGGAACATTTATACACTGTCAGTGGAAATATAATATGTCTAGTCACTTTGGAAAACAGTCTGCAATTCTTCAAAAGGTTAAACATAGGGTTACTATATGACCAAGCAATTCTAATCCTCAGTATAATATAATAATATATATAATATTATATATAATATTATTATATACACTATATTTATATATAATATAATTATAATATATAATAATACATTACAATTATATATATTATATATAATAATAATAATATAATCTTTAGTATAACCCAGAGAAATGAAAATACATATTCACAGGAAAACTTGTACATGAATGTTAATAGTAGTCTTATTCATAGTAGCCTCCAAGTAGAAACAGCCCAAATGTCCAAAGACTTCTAAACAGATAATCAAGATTATAGCATATTCATAAATCATAGCATAGTAAATCAAATTATATTCATAGAATGAAATACTACTTGGCAATAAAAAGAAGTGAGGTACTGATACATACTACCATGTGACTGAACCTTGAAACCTTCTTTCACATACCATGTGAAAGAAGCCAGCGAAAAAGACCACATATGGTATGATTCTATTTATATGAAATATCCAGGATAGGCAAATGCAGAGAAGGAAAGTAGATTCAGTGGACTGTTGAAAAGGTTTTAAGAGAAAAAGAGGAGTGACTGCTAATGAATATGGAGTTTCTTTTCAGTTCTGTTCAATTCAGTTCAGTTGTTCAGTCGTGTCCAACTCTTTGCGACCCCATGAATTGCAGCACTCCAGGCCTCCCTGTTCATCACCAACTCCTGGAGTTTACTCAAACTCGTGTCCATCGAGTCGGTGATGCCATCCAGCCATCTCATCCTCTCTCATCCCCTTCTCCTCCTGCCCCCAATCCCTCCCAGCATCAGGATCTTTCCCAGTGAGTCAACTCTTCACATGAGGTGGCCAAAGTATTGGAGTTTCAGCTTCAGCATCAGTCCCTCCAATGAACACCCAGGACTGATTTCCTTTAGGATGGACTGGTTGGATCTTCTTGCAGCCCAAGGGACTCTCAAGAGTCTTCTCCAACACCACAGTTCAAAAGCATCAATTTTTCGGCACTCAGCTTTCTTCACAGTCCAGGTCTCACATCCATACATGAGTTTCTTTTAGGGATGATGTAAATGTTCTAAAATTAACAGTGGTGATAGTTACACAACTGTGCATAAGCTTAGGGCCACTGAATTGTACACTTTAAGACATGTGAACCATATGATATGTGAATTATAGCCAATAAAGCACGTTAAGTAGTTTAAAATAAACTGGAAAAAGGAAAGCCTAAAAACAACAACAGTATTAGTAATAATAAATTAGTTCACTTCTCTGGCCTTATCCTCTTCCATTCCCCAATTTATCCCATACTCTATCCATAATGGCCTCCTTGCAATTCCCATATTATGTCTTCCTATTTGATGTCCTGTGAACATAGTATATCTGCTTCCTGGAGTTCTCTTCAGCCCTCCTCTGCCTGCCTAACTCCTTCATATTTAAAACTAGTCAATCAGAGTAAGCTAATGGCCCAAACAATTGATTCCCAGTGACCTAATTATGATAAAATTTACTTCTCTCTCATGTAAACACTTCCCAGGTGATTCAGAGATACAGGCTCCTTACCTCCATCAGCTCTGCCTGCCCAGGAGTCTTCCACTGTATTCTCTATAACAGGCTGAGAAAACCAGTGGGGCATCAGCACAGACAGGACTCGAGGAATTTTCCAAATGATTAATTCACTTTTGAACATGGTATCTTTAAGAGATGTCAGGATACCCAGCGGTCTTGGGTTCAGCACAGAGACTATTTATTAGCTTATGGGTGTTCATTGGAAGGACTGATGCTGAAGCTGAAACTCCAGTTCTTTGGCCACCTCATGCTGAGTTGACTCATTGGAAAAGACCCTGATGCTGAGAGGGACTGGGGGCAGGAGGAGAAGGGGATGAGAGAGGATGAGATGGCTGGATGGCATCACCGACTCGATGGACACGAGTTTGAGTAAACTCCAGGAGTTGGTGATGAACAGGGAGGCCTGGAGTGCTGCAGTCCTTGGGGTCAAAAGAGTCGGACACGACTGAGCGACTGAACTGAACTGAATAAGCTATCCCACATGTATTGCACTACTCCCCTTCTCTCTACATCTTCAGGAAGAGGTGATTTGCTTTAAAAACTCAAAGATAATTTTTAAGAATAAGAATGCTGAAGGGAGAAAAAGTAGTATTCAACATCTCTATTGAGGAATTTATGATGTAGAACAGAATGGAAGCTGAAGCTAAAGGAAACTTTCCTTAAAGGGCTATTTATTAAAAAATGGAACGCACTCCTTAGGACAAATCAAAGTGTAAACACACAACATCCAAAATTCTTGTACAGGTAAATTAGTGTTCTCAGCTATCTCCTGCTCCCAAATTTCTCTGCCACATTGAGGACGGTTCAAGAGGAGTAGAGAACCTGTTGGCTGCAGCGAGAAACATTTGAAAGCACTCTTTTATGGAATTCATAAGAGAGAAAAATCTCTCTCATGTTATTTAGAATCATCCTCGATATATCTATTCTAATAATAATAATAATGATAATAATAATAATACACATAGCCAAATACCGTTCTCTGTGTAAAATCTTTACAAATCTGACATGCTGAGAATTCAGCTTCTGATACAATCCATTCACTTTTCCAGTTAGACTGGTACTGAGTTCGCAGCACAAAATCGAATGTGCTCATGCAGCTCATCCCACAGTACCTGTTCATTCGGGCTGGCGCTTGGAATTTCAGATCTGGTCCCTCCGCGGGGCGGGGCGGGGCCGTGGGCGGGGCCTGCCGCCGGGGAGGCGGGGTGCTGGGAAAGCCGGGGGGCGGGTCTGCTCGTGAAGCCTCGTAGTATCTGAGCGTGCGAGGGTCCGCGGCGCTAGCAGCGTGCTCCGCGAGGCTTCGCTTCACGTGGCATCGCAGTGGACCCCGCAGCTCCGGGCGCTTCGTGCTCCTGGACTGCCAGGAGATGTGAGCGCCGCTGAGATGCCCGTGGCGAGCGACCTGGAGCCGGCAGAGACGACGCTGCTCCTGAGGATGGGCTGCGCCGAGAGGCCGACGCAGCCCCGGGGTGTCCGGGGGAAAGGAAGGGGACCGCAGCCCAGGACGGGGAGCATCCCGGCGCTGGAGCGGGCGGAAAAGTCAAGAGCCACAGCCGCTGTCCAGCGCTTGCGAAGCCGCCGCCCCTGGGGTGCGCCCAGAGGTTTGTGAGTACTCTGCGTCGCCTGTCCGCAGACGGAAGCTGGGGAACACCCCTGGAGAGCTCTACGGGATCCCCACAATCGCCGTCGCCTGGTCTCTACACCTGCCTCAGGGACAGAGTGACTGCCGCCCCCCCCCCCCCCCCCTGCGGACCCGGGGCGAGGGCGGAGGCCCATCGGGGCCGCCCCCTTCCCACCCAGGAGGTGGAGAGTCCCCCCCCCCCTTCCGCCGTCCACTCCGGCCAAATTCAACTCCCGTTCTCTCCTCCCGCGGCCCCGAGCCTCCTGACGCCCCCTCGTCCTCCCGCTATCCCCCCCCCGCCCCAGAGACAGGGGAGGAGAAAAGGGGAGCCCAGGGCGTCATGACTGAGCTGAAGGCGAAGGGTTCCCGCGCTCCCCACGTGGCGGGCACAGCGCCCTCGCCCACCCAGGTCGGAGCCCCTCTACGGGGACGCCCAGACGCGGGCCCCTTCCAGGCGGGCGAGGCCTCGGACCCGACGCCCACAGCCTCGGGCCTCCCCCTCTCCCTGGACGGGCTGATCTTCCCTCGGCCCTGCCAGGCTCAGGACCTGGACGGGAAGACGCCGAACCCAGAGTCGCTGGCAGACGTGGAGGAGGCGTATTCCAGCGGGGAAACCGCAGAGGGCGCTGCTGCGAGACCCCTGGAAAAGGACGGCGGGTTGCTGGACAGCGTCCTGGACACCCTGCTGGCGCCCCCCGGCCCTGAACAGAGCCCCGCCAGCCCCGCCGTCTGCGAGGCCCCCAGCCCTTGGTGCCTGTTTGGCCCTGAGTTTGCCCAAGACACCCGGGCTGCGCCCGCCGCCCAGGGGGTCCTGCCCCAACTCATGAGCCGCCCGGAGAGCAAGGCTGGCGATACCCCTGGGGGGGCCGCCGGCCAGAAGGTGCTGCCCCGGGGCCTGGCGCCGTGCCGGCAGCTGCTGGCCCCGACGGCCGCGAGCCACCCCTGGCCCGCGCCAGCGCCGAGGCCGTCTCCGCAGCCCGCGGTGGTGGAGCTGGACGTGGACGACTCGGAGCCCGAGGGCTCCTCGGGGCCGCCCCTGAAGGGCAAAGCCCGGTCCGCGGGAGGAGCCGCGATCAGCGCTCCTGGTACGGCCGCGGGAGGCGTCGCCCCGCTGCCCAAAGAAGATGCCCGTTTCTTGGCGCCCAGGGCCGTCCCGGCGGAGCATGACGCGCCCGCCGCGCCCGGGCGCGCCCCGGTGGCCACCGCGGTGATGGACTTCATCCATGTGCCCATCCTGCCGCTCAACTCGGCCTTCCTGGCCGCCCGCACCCGGCAGCTGCTGGAGGGCGACAGCTATGACGGCGGGGTCGCCGGCGCCTTCGCCGCCCCACGGGGCTCGCCCTCCGCCTCGGCCGCCCCGGGCGCGCCCGGAGACTTCCCCGACTGCGCGTACCCGCCCGACGCCGAGCCCAAGGACGACGCGTTCTCGCTCTACGGGGACCCGCAGCCACCCGCCCTGAAAATCAAGGAGGAGGAGGAGGGGGGTGCCGAGGCCGCCGCACGCTCCCCGCGGCCCTACCTGCTGGCGGGGGCCAGCCCCGCCGTCTTCGCGGACTTCCCGCTGGCGCCGCCGTCCAGGCCCGGGGAGGTGGCGGCGCCCGCGGCCGCCGCGGGGGCCCCCGGCTCGTCCGCGGCCGCGTCGGGGTCCGCTCTGGAGTGCGTCCTGTACAAGGCGGAGGGCGTGCCGCCCCAGCCCGGCCCGTTCGCGCCGCCGCCCTGCAAGGCTCCGGCCGCGGGCGCCTGCCTGCTGCCGCGGGACCTGCCGTCCACCTCGGCCGCCGCCGCCGCAGGGGCCACCCCTGCGCTCTACCCGCCGCTCGGCCTCAACGGGCTCCCCCAGCTCGGCTACCAGGCCGCCGTGCTGAAGGAGGGCCTGCCGCAGGTCTACCAGCCCTATCTCAACTACCTGAGGTGAGGGCCCGGCGCGGCGCGTGAGGACCGGTCCGGCCGCTCCCGGCCCCCGGCGCCCGGCAGCCCCGAGTGGCCGCCAGGGGTGGGTGACCGAGGCGGGGCGCAGCGCAGCTTGGCTTGGCTCCTTTTCCCTCGCCTCTTCTCCTCATTTATTTTGGGGGGGAGGGGGGAGGGCCCCGCGGGGGCCCAGATTATGCTGTTTCTGGAGCGGGCTTCCCCGACAATATGTCTCTAAACTTTCCAGATCTGCGCAGTCCCAAGGCGAACCAGCCGCGAGTTCTAAAAGTGCAGCGTCACTCTCGGTCCGCCGTAGCCCCGCGGAGCCGAAAGGGTGCGGCAAGTCCGGGGTTTTATAAAATGCTTTTCTTCCTAGAAGCACAGTTACCGAGAACGTGCGTTCCGGAGGGGAGACGGTAACGCATCGTTCTCCCGGGCGGGGTGGCGCTAGGTGCCCGGCCAGAACCCAAAGCAGAACCATCTTAAGGGTCTGGACACTTAGCGCTTCATTTTCACCCGAATCTCTAGATTAAAATTAATTTATGTGTAATATGTTCACAGTATGGTTTTAAACATCAATCACTGCGGTGCACTGTAGGCTAGTATCGTTTCAAGTTCGCTACAACTTTTAGCATACAAGTTTTGAAAAACACTTTACATACGAGAATTATGGAATTTTAAAGAAAAAAGAAAGTGCTCTGAATTTGGAATCTGTGGTGTGAATAGTCAAAACAGTGTCAATATATTGAACAATGCTTTAAAAAGACAAACACGGGTACTTGTTTAATTAGAGAGATGACTTTTAAAAATGATTGTACTCTTAAAGCAAAATCCTGTTTATTGTTTCCCACCGTGCAACAAGGTTATAACATTTGTCAAAAGACTAAATTGATTCTCTGTAATGAGTTTTGCAGGAAGTTTTTTTTTCCTGAACATAAAATTAAATATTAATTATTTATTACTTTTGTTGGTACTCCTGATGAGAGGCTAATAACTTGCAACTGTGATGAATCCAGTAACAGGTAGTATATCAAGTTCAGTTTGCTATGTTTTTCAGATCTGTATTGATATATGGCTGTAATTTTTAAAAACCTTTTCACTCTATTTTGGGTTAAGGAAACTTTAGTGTTAGACAGTGGTGCACCTAAAAATAAATTGAGTACTTTGTTTTGCATTTCAAGGCCGGATTCAGAAGCCAGCCAGAGCCCACAGTACAGCTTTGAGTCATTACCTCAGAAGATTTGTTTAATCTGTGGGGATGAAGCATCAGGCTGTCACTATGGTGTCCTCACCTGTGGAAGCTGTAAGGTCTTCTTTAAAAGGGCAATGGAAGGTAGGCTCCTTTCTTGTTGGTTTAATTGTAAATGGACACCATCTAATATTTTACAGATCTTGATTAAGCCCTTGCTTCTTCTAAGAAATGATCGTATTTCCATATAACTAAAAATATATGATAATATTTTAACAGTATATTTTTATTTATAATAATCTGTATTGAATGTGGTTGGATATTATAATTGCATAATATTTGACTATCACTTTTAATATTAGACAAAAGCATATGAATCTTGGAACATGCTAACATTGTTCATTAACTTTAGAGCCACAACTTTGTTCTGACTGAATTTTTATATTTCTATTGCATATATTATGTGTAAGATACACTAAATTAAAATTTTCTTCCAAAAGTAAAATGTTAGAAGTCATCAAAATTATATATGTACATATATATGATGCATTTACAAGTTTTCTTCATAATTATGTCATTTCCCTGCATGATGTTTATGTAATAATTATATAATGGTAATTATAGAAAAAATGTTTAAAGTTTCTTTTTTGTTTAGTGCAAACAATTTAAAGCAAAAGAAGAATTTGAACTCCACAGTAATTTAATTTCCGCAGAAATATTTTGCTTTAAGTAAGGCTTTCATATTTTTAAAATCATCTGAATTATATATTTACCTAATGATTTAGATTGATTTGCATAATGTATTTCATATTTGAACTTTTATAAAATATATGTTTTAATTTCATCCTTTTTATCTACACTAAACTCTAAGCAGCCAAGCACATTTATATTTGAAGATAGAAATGCACTTAGACATCATTTCACATTTGAATTCTAGCAATAAGTGTATTTTATAACAAGCGGACATGAGTTTAGGGTTGTCTCTGGAGTTCTGAGATCACACCTAGACAAGGGACCAAAGATCTGAATGTCTGCTTTTTTGCTTCCTGTTTGTACATTTTCTGATTTCAGGAGTCCTCTACATATGAGTAGGAAAGGAGGGAGCGGGGAATTTTTACCTTAAGGGAGCATTCAAAGGAGTTGACATGCATATTTAATACACATTTACCCTAAAAGAATATTAACCCAAAAGATGTTTAACAAAAAAATTCACTATCCCTATAGATTGCTAACATATAATTTTTCATAACTATTATGCCCTTTTAGTGAAAATGATTCTCATTTATTAGTAGTATATGTACCCCTCCTACTGAAATTAATGCTTCAAAAAAAGTAATTGCTCTTGTGCGTTCCTAGAACATGATTGTTTCCCACGAAGGATGGATGCATTTCATTCATATTGAGCATATGTATTAAACTTCAGGGGGCTTTAACTGCGTTTTAAATTAGTTGAGGTGCTGTGACAAGAGGCCATGTGAGAAAATGGGATGACTGAGGGTAGTCTTAACTTTCCACTGACATCATTTAGTCATAGTTACAGTTTGAAGCCCTTTGTGTGGAAGAGTTGATTCTCCAGTGGGTAATTGAAGTTACTGTTCCCATCTGACTCTGATCCTGGTTTCCTGAACATTCCCCTCTGCATTAATGTGATTTTCTTTGTACTTATAGTTTTATTAGTCTAATTCTCAAGTGAATGACCCTGTTGGAGTCCCCCAAAAGCCAAGTTATTCCAGCCCAACTCTCTCTTTCTACAGATACACAAGTCCTAAAGACATACATCTAAGTTTCTAAAGAGCATACAATTAGTTGGTAGCTGATTGTTAGTCAACATAGGTTAGATTTTCTTTCTTTGCAGTGCCTATAAATCAGAGATGGTATGCAAAAGTAGGCATATGACAAATGCTACTTAATTCTTTTTTTTCATTTATTTTTATTAGTTGGAGGCTAATTACTTTACAATATTATAGTGGGTTTTGTCATACATTGACATGAATCAGCCATGGATTTACATGTATTCCCCATCCCGATCCCCCCTCCCACCTCCCTCTCTACCCAATCCCTCTGGGTCTTTCCGGTGCACCAGCCCAGAGCACTTGTCTCATGCATCCAACCTGGGCTGGCGATCTGTTTCACCCTTGATAATATACATGTTTCGATGCCGTTCTCTCTAAATATCCCCCTCGCCTTCTCCCACAGAGTCCAAAAGTCTGTTCTGTACATCTGTGTCTCTTTTTCTGTTTTGCATATAGGGTTATCATTACCATCTTTCTAAATTCCATATATATGTGTTAGTATGCTGTAATGTTCTTTATCTTTCTGGCTTACTTCACTCTGTATAATGGGCTCCAGTTTCATCCATCTCATTAGAACATTAGAACTGATTCAAATGAATTCTTTTTAATTCTTGAAAGTTACTTCAAAAGTGCATATATGACCAAGAATACTCTAATTGAAATATAAATGTTTTCACATCATTATTATCAGAATAGTATCCTAAACATAAAAGATGTCTTCCCAAATTTGCAATGACAAGGCATTTGTTGGACCACTAATGTTGGCATGGTTCTGTTTTAATTTTGAGTAATAGAAATGAAGTACCTTTATTCAACATTGTTTATGAAGAGGAGCTCAAGATAAAAGTTGATAAATCATTTGGCTGTTAAATGACAAGTAAAATTATTGATCTCTGGACATTGAGAAGAACTTGTTAAGTGTATATATTCAAGGAAAACTGATGAGATTAAGATTAGACTAAGACTTGAAGATCCATATTAGGAAATTATTAGAGTTAAAGGTTAAGAAGGTTGATTGCCAGTGTTTGCTTGAATCAGTCATTTAAGGCAAGAAAGTAGAAGGTTCTTTGAGTTTTCGAGAGTGAGAAAGTTGAGTAGAAGAATATTTGTAATTGAAGAGAAATACCCAGTTTGAAATCTTAGAGTAAATTAGGGCTGTGTGATGAACAACTTCAGGGTAGAACTATGTGTGGGTGCCAGTATGTCCAGAAATTGAATGTCATAGTCAACAATATGAATATTAAATACCAAGGATAATGATGATAATGGCTTTCAGGAGTGCTTTCTATGTGCCTGTGACTATTTAAATGTTGTATTGGTCTTGACCCTTTTAAGCCATATAGTATAGACATTATCATCACTTTCAGTTTATAAATGAGGAAACTGCCTTTGTAAACTGCCTTAAATCACAAGAAGTAGTGGAATAGGATTCAAATCCAAGGTGTTTGACCCCAGAATCTATGCCTTCCACCACTACACTTTCTTTCTCATAATAGGAAATTCAGTTTCAGCCTCACAAAGAAACAATAGAGGATTGGAAGAAAAAAATGTAAGCCAAGTGAGAAAACTTTCTAAGAAGGTAGAAGGGAATCCTAATGGAGAATGCAATATCAAGGGTGATTGAAAGTGTGTAATGTAAATGGATGGATGATACTAGCACCACATTTAGGGCTGCAGTGAAAAGACACATTCAGGAGCCAAGAGCCAGTTTCCCCACCCCTCCTCCAAGTTAGAAGTGGGAGACAATAATGTGTATGGAGAAGTTACTCAAGAAACTGAATTTCCCTTGGCATGAGACAGAAAAGAGAAGAGGCAGAGAAAAAAGACATCCCTCAGGAAGTAGGAGTATGCGGAGGAGAGAAATGACCTCTTAAGCTGGAAAAAATATATATATATATTAGCCAAAAAATAGTTGCTTGAATAGCCCATTGCATTCCTTTACTAATACTTGGAGTGAACCAGGGAGTGGTCAGAAATTGCCTTAATGCCTTTCAAGGAGAAGTCATAATGACCTGCCAGTCCTATAAATGCAGGCCTTGTGTTAAGAAGGAAAAGATCATTTCTCACTGGCTTACCTCAGTATGCACTGTGACTTGCTCAATGCTAGGAATACCAAACACTCAGTGTGTGATTGTCTGCTAAGAGAACCAGTCATAACAAATGATGCTAAGCTCTTATTCTTTGCATATTTTACACTGTGACAGCATTTGTAGTGAATACATTTGATGGAATAGGGTTGGGAAATATTGTTAATATAGTTGAAACATAGTGTTTAGAGACACGAGCCTAAGTAGGTATTGATGGATTTTTAATTATATTACATTATGCCTCATTTTTCTATCTTAATTGAGGTATAATGACAAATAAAATTATAAGATATTTAAAGTATACCTTGTAATGATTTGATATTATAGGTGCGTGGTGAAAGAATTCCTGCCCATCAAGTATGTTACTTTTTTAACATACCTCACATATTTGCCTTTCTTTTTGGCAAGGATATTTAAGTTCTACTCTCTTGGCAAATTTCAGTTATATAATGTTATACAGTGTTATCAATTGTAGTCACAGTGTAATGCATTAGATCCTCAGACTTTATTCACCTTATACCTGAAGGTTTGTATCCTTTTACCAATCTCTCCCTATTTTCCCCCACCCTCTAGTCACTGGCAACCACTTCTCTATTCTGTGTTTCTGTAAATTCAACTTATTTTTTTAATTCCACATGTAAATGATACTTGTGGTATTAATCTCCATCTGGCTTATTTCATTTAGCATAATATACTCTATGTTCAGCTAATTTTTGTTTTTGCATTAATTAACCAAATATTTATTGAGCACCTGCTGTATGCCAGCGACTATACTAGGTGCTGCTTGAAAAGTAAAACAGGACAGACCTAACCGACTTTAGCACTCATAGAGTTTTTAATGTAGTGGAGGAAAGGGACATCCTATCAATTAGCATGCATTTAGCAAGTTATATATTATATATTAATGAGTCATGCCTAGACAACTAGTCACTTGACCCATCTGACAGATGCTGGGGATGGCGGGGAAGTCTTTAGAATTAGAAAGACACCCTCATAAGCAGTCTTCCCAGGTGGTCCTAGTGGTAAAGAACCCACCTGCCGATGCAGGAGACATAAGAGATGAGGGTCCCATCTCTCGGTTGGGAAGATCCCCTGGAGGAGGAAATGGCAACCCGCTCCAGTATTCTTGCTAGGAGAATCCCATGGATAGAGGACCTTGCAGGCTGCAATCCATGGGGTCACAAAAAGTCAGACGCGACTGAGTGTCTGAGCACATCATAAGCAGACCACAGAGGAAATGGAACAGAAATGAAATATTTTTAAG